AAATTTATGGGAATTACAACAAAAACTCATGCCATCATAATGAACCTAGAGATAATTACACTAAGTTTTCTGGGGATAAAACCAGAATCGTAATTTCTCCACTTGCAAAACAGCAATTTAACAACCCTTATTTTAATTAAAAGTAGAACAGAGAACTACACCCATGTAGATAAGCAGGGAAAGACAAATTCAAAAACCTATAACTTTACACCTTTCGCTCTTTTCCTGCACGAGTCCATGTGGGGCCAGCAGGTTGCCTGCCCCTCCTGCCCCAGGTTTGAGATCACTAATTTTTGCTGGGTAGCAAGGCCTAGGTCAGGCTGGAGTAAACCAAGGGCATGGATGGCTTCTGTCAGCTGCCCCTCTCCACAGCTATGGCCCACCCGCTCCTCACCTTGCTGAGGGACGCCTGCGCTAGGGCCGTGTTTCTACCAGCTGCCTCTGCTGTTTCACCCCTGGGAACACCACAGGGTACTGACAGCTAAACACGCTCTCCTGGAGTCCCCAGAGCTTACATACGAGCACTGCAGGGTTGGGAGCTCTTGCTTTAGGCCAGGTGACCATTTTCTCCTACCCACTTCATGCCCACATGCATGCATATGGACAGCCCAGGCTTCGGTATGGTGGTTCAGAAATGGTCCTCCAGTTTGTCCTTCAAGGACACAAATCCCTCTTTGTATTTTGTATTTTCTGACAGAAATGCAGGTCAAATACAATGAGGCACTGCATGAAAAACCCAGCATATTTCAGGATGGAAATGGACCTGTCTCCTCTCGGCTCCTCCTTCCCACTTCCCTAGCCTCCAGAACTCTTGGGGCAGAAGGAATGTGGGGATTTTGCTTTCACTGTAGGCCGCAATTGTGCTGCATTTTTTAAGGATTTCTACACCTTATCAGACATAAGATAAGAATCCTGTTTTCCTGCACAACATTCAATTGCCATTACATAGAGGAATTTTCATTACAGATGTTGCAGCCGGTGCAACATATGAGGCAGATAATTCGATGGAAAACTGCATCCATCACTGCATGGCTCTAAACACAGGCCCACTGTGCACTGAATGAGATTCTCTGGGAAAAGCATGCACTCCTGAAACTAAAAGCTCTGTCAGAACACATATGCAGAAGAGAACTGTGATAGTTACTCAGCTGAAGTGTGTATGTGTATGTGTGTATAACTTCACAGGTTTCAAAAATGAGAAGTCCTATGCAGAATCAAAAAAAAAAAAAAAAAAAAAAAAAAAAACAACACAAAAACACAAAACACTGCAAGGAATCGTGTTGACATCTGTATACAGTCTGTAAGGGAGGTTCTTCACCTCTGCCAGTTGATCTGACAGCAACAGAACCCTATCAGCCCCTGCACAGATCAACAGGGACCAGCCTTTTTATACAGAAAAGTGTAATATAGTTTATATATTATATTTATAAATACATTATGTATATTACAATATTATTATACAATATTATAAATATATTTATAGTTTTCACCATACATGCTGACATCAGACAGATGAGGAGAGCTGCACCCCACATCTGCCTCCTTAATCTGCCTGTTTATCTCTTTGTCCAGTCACAGTCTTTTTTTCATTTACTGTTCCTCATCCTACGTTCTGGTGACCACCACTTCAGGAAAAGACTGCTCTGTACCAGCCACTTTAGGGAAGGAAGGAATATCAGTGCTCTCTGCAAATGGGATCTCCATACTCAGCAACGCCACCAAGGAGGGAGAGATTAATTTTTGCCACAGAAAAACAAAAAAGCAAACAAACAAAATAAACAAAAAAAATACACACACACAAGAAGAATTTAGATACTGAACTCTATTAACTCTCCCACAAGCAAACACTGACCATAAGTTCTTATAGCAGCTGACTGCTTTGCCATACTTTCCTGCTTCCTTCATGGAGACAGTGAAAGCCACAACCTGACATGCTTATTACTCATGCAAAACAGCAAGTCCTTGCCCCTTGCATGGGAGCACCAGAGCTTCTCAATAAAAAAATAAAAATAAAGAAATACTTAAAGTAATGTACACCAACAAAGCAACATGTTTTAACCCTCATTTTATTATTTGAAACAGATGAACACTTTTGGCAAAATTCTGAAACAAAATGGAAATTTTCAATCTAATTAGTTCAACTACTAACTGGACTCATGATCTTCTAATTGGTACTTGCTGTATAGGTTGTGGCTATACAGCAAGAGTGTCAACTGGTGTGCCTCTAGCAAAGAGATGGATGGCCTGACAAAGATACATATTTTTATACCTTTATGAGTCATCTGGCTGGAGAAGAAATAATTAAAACTGAGTTTTGCCTTCTATTACAGGCATTCACTTGCCATCAGTCCACTAAGGGGGATGAAGCTGTGGAAGAATAGCTGTCTACACCAATTCCTTGTCCTTTTCAAACTATAATTACATATTCCTGGAGGAAGAAAAAAAAAAAAAGTGCTAAACTTTGTACTACAGGCACCTCCAATAAATTATTTCACTCTAAAACGGCATCAAGAATATTTTGAAGAGGTTTTTTTTAATTCTCCATTTTGAAGAAAGGAATGTATTTCTTGTGTTGAAAGTTTTTATTTTCATTAAACTCTCTTCAAATTCAAGAAAAACTTGTAAAAGATTTTTTAATTTTGAAAAATTACCTTCTTTAACAAGAAAGCCCACTTTTAGCTCTTCAACACCAAACATGTCAAAACGAGAAAATGAGCATGCAATGTAAGGCTAAAAGAGGGTAGCTCTCACTGTGACAGATTGCTTTCAGCAACACCATCAATAACCACAATGGAAAAGCTTCCTGAATCTACTTGCATGAGTCTTACACTTAGCTTACCAGCCTTAAGGCTCAGGAATTGCTTCTTCTACAGCCTGTACAAAACCAAATAGAACCAGGGGATCTTGGCCTCATGAGACATCTGGACTGTATAATGGTAATAATTATAGAGCAGTATTATTAACAATCAGCCTACATTTTTCACTGTGACAGATTCAATGCACTATGGAATCCAACTTTTAATTGAAAAATAGTCAAACTATAGCATTCCTGCTTGCAAAGATAAACTTTTCATTTGTACATGAATGCTGTCTTGTCTCAGTCTAATGCAACAGCTTTGAGGAAGATTGCCCTCATCTGTCTCAACTGTTAGCTATTTGCTAAACTGAATGCTTCAAATCACACTGATACTACGTATCAAACTTGAGATAATCTCGGCCTATATTTTCCTTAGTGTAGAATAACTCCTGTCTTCGAGTATGCTTCAAATCAGCCCAGAAGGATTCTGTTTGGGCCCCAGAAACTGAAGTGCTAGAATCAGAAGCCATTGTTGGAGAACTCATAAAGTAATATGGAGTCCATGTTCATTATTATAATTGCAGCATGAACTTATTAGCCTAAAACTAAGCTAATGTTTCAGCCCAGGGGCAGAAATTTTAAAAAGTTTTTAGGCTGATTCTATAAGATGAATTTGTGGGTTTCATACTCTGAAGTATGAAAGAGATTAAAGTAAATTAGCATTAATTTTATACCTAAAAGACTGACCTGTCATATAGAAAAGTGATAGACATAGTTGCTGCAACAGTCCTATGCTTCAAAAATCCCAAACTTGTGTAACACAACCTCTGTTTAGAGGCATGCAGACATTAGTACCTGAATGTAACATGCCCCTCTACCTTGCACCAAGATGAAGATGGATTGATGTCACCATAGTGAATGTCATATTATTTTGTAACTAAAAACACCACCTTCAGTTCCTCTAGCTCACAGTTAGTAGAGAGCTGATAAACCAAATGCAACTCAAAGTATGATCTAGTTTTGAAAAGGGGAACCACATTTAAAAAACACCTGCTAGGTTGTGTGATGTGATTCCTTGGAATAACCACATCTTCCGTATTAAGAGACCTATCAACACAGAGAATGTATCATGTAAAGAAACTTCCAGGCATTAAAAAAGTGAATTCATTGAATTAGTGAAATGAAAATCTCCTGAATTTTTGCTTAATCTTTTGCCTGAAAAAAGGAGGATCAATGACAAAGATTCAATATTGGTGCAATTTTAGAAATACTGGGTTCTTCTTCCATGGGCTGCTTTGTCCTAGTAATGACCTTTGCGATGACTTCACAGATAGACCCCCACAGAGTTTTCACCCTGCAAGAGGCATGAAGTACATACTCTTTTGACATCTCAAGTAAATAAAAAGTGAGATAAAAAATGGGAACAAATAAAAGAGCAATAAGAATCTTACCTTGCTTTTTGTGAATTTTTGATGTAGAGTGAACACAAACACCTCAAAGAATCATCTAAAGTACTGCACAGTTAATAGCTGTAAGAATCTCCATGTGTTTAAGTGGAATTAGGGCAACTGACACAGCAGTTCTTTTTGCAATAACTTTGATAGACAATAAGTGCTCCTCCAGATGTCATCCTGGAGAAAGCAGTGCACATCTATCTCACATATTTGTCTCTGGGACAGGTGGCAATAAATTTCTACTTCTCTGCTTTAATTTTGATGGTCAGACAGGCAGACAGGCATTTATTTCACAGTGGATTCCTTTTTGTCAGCATTTCAGAATATTAGCTGTTTCGCAGTCTTCCTAGAACTGAGTGTTAGTTCAAATTTCATGAACAGCAGCAGTTGGTTCACATAAAGGTCAGTTTCCTAAGTTTCATCATACTCCCTTATATTGATTCATATTAGGCCCTACAAACAAGATCCAAGCTTACTTCTTTGCCACAAACTCTTTTGTTTGTTATGCAGGGGGAAAATGTAACAAACCTGAGCTGATGAGCTTGTGAAACTATAAGAAGGTAAGTTATCTGGAAAATTGGACTGATGCTGCAGTTATCGCTAAAATCAACTAAAGTACAAGAAAAATGTTCCACCTAGACATTCATTCCTAGTAATTATAATGAATTCATGATTGGGGAACTTCAGTTAGTATTTAATACATCACAGCTCTCTTTTCAAGTTCCAGACTTATCCTGCATGAATGCTAATTTACCATTTAGAATAAAGACACACCTTTAATGTTTAAACAAAATGATTAATATTTACATAGAAAAGTTATGTTTCTGACAATAAGTCAGTATTAATGCACAATGAAAATTGCTTTTTCTGTATTTTGTGCTGGGCTCTGATATCACTAATGTCACTAAAAATGTCATTTTTAAACCACCTGAAGTAGTCTTTACAATTACACTGTAAATAATTTCAGTATATGTTTACAGGTTTAGCTAGGATCCAGACATGAGATTTTGAACAATATAAATACTGTCTGAGTGGAGCCTTAAAGCACAGTCACACTAAAGACAACTGATAGGATCCAACTCTTTAACTGAGAGTTTGGTAGCATGTATCATATTGCAATCTTCCGTGTAGCTATCTGTTCCATGTTAATTACCAGCGCAGCAGCCAACACAATTACTCATCACTGGAGACCTGGTGCCAAAACTTTTTTCTACATTTCTTGAATTTTTGCTCACCAAGTCACTGAGAAGAATCCTTGCTACTACTTCACCACATACAGTGAATACCTTTGTCTTCCCGCTACCTTGGCTATCCTTTATTTCCTGGAAATCATCTGTGCAACTACTAAAGCAGCTACTAAAACTACATAAGCAGTTTTAAGAAGGAGAAATGACAGATTAAACCAAGGTATGCTGTAGACTGATGAGTTGCACATGTTGGGGAGAAAAGGATAATGGTGTTGACATAAACTAATTACCAGTGCCAGCACACCTACATTCGGCCTTAAAATGGCAGGTGAGTTATTTTAAAACAAGAGATGAACTACCAAAACACAAAATATGTATTTTGAAACATCATCATGTAAAATTCCCATTGGAAACCCCTTTCCACCTCCATAAACCTGATGGTATAAAAGATCAGTAGTGGCTTACACATTCAGGGAAAAATTTCATATAGGAAAAGAAGATGTGTCATAGTTACCTGTCATTGTATGGTGGCTATACTGTGCACAATGCTAGAAGAAGCAACTAGGTATCTACGCTGCACAAAAAGAGTCTTCTACTCCTTGCCAACTTCACATATAATTGCCTTCAAGGTTCCTCAGTACAGACTTATATTCACCTCATGACAATGTGCTGGCTCTTGACACATGAAGACAACAATATAGAGAAACTGTACAGAACATTGCATGATAAGGTGTAAGAGGACCAAATCAAAGTAGGATATCCTCCAGGCTCGATCTCAAAGGACCAGAATTGGCTCCTTTGGTTCTGTCAGTCCTCTGGCTTTGGCCTCTGTCATCTTCTCTACAATCACATCAATCACCAGGACAGCCTAGCAAACAAGCGAAGTAATAGAATCATCAGATCAAAATATGCCAGAAGTATTAACAATAGCCAGATCACTTATCAGATCACAGTAATAATCCAGTAATAATCTAAACTCTGCAATTTGCATTTTGTATTACTTGCTAATCGCTGTTATTTATTTCTTCCTCAAACTCCAAAATGCTTGATCCTATCACCAAAACAGATGCAGGCAGTTCTCAGGATGTCCTGAAATCCTACTCTCTAACTTTCAGGTTAGATTTCTTGTCACCAAGATTTTCTTCTAAAGAAACTGAAGTAGTACAACTCATAAAAAAATCAGTAAGAAGAAGGCTTATAAAAATGCAGATAAATGCTTTGAGGTAAAGAATAAGAGGGAAAATAAGATAAGACGAAGGAGACCTTGCAGTAACAGAGCGAATGGGGTGATAGCAAAGGAGCATAAAAAGAACATGGAGAGGTTAATCACAGAAAAGAACTGGGTTTTGGCTTGCACTCCATACAGCTGAGTTTGGCTACTACTGATGCCAAAAGAGTGGCTTAAACATTGGCTTCTGTTATGAGGGGAGAGTCAAGCCCCTGCCTGAGCCTAGAAAACTTTTACAAGGACCATAAGGTTTTGAGGTTTCCTTCTATGCATGAAGTCAGTGTCGCTCTCTGCTGGAAAGATGCAGAGTTCCCTTGAGGGGTGTAGGGAAGAGAAGATGCTTCCTAGCACTCAAAAGCAGAAGAAAGAAAGGCGCACAAGTGTCACTGTGCAGCTCTTCCAATGAACTTGGATATGAGACTGCTAGAAAGTGAATAATCAAAGCCTTTGTTGTAACCACAACATTTCCAAAACAATGTAAATGAAAAATATTATACCAAAATATTACACCAGCTCCTATCACAAATGCCTGTATTATAGTGAAAGGGTACTTTTTTCAAGTGTGCAGTATCTTTTAAAAATGCGTGATGTTTATTTGTTAATACCAAACCTAAAAGCAATCTCTAGTTATAAATTAAAGGCTCTCATAAAAACTCTGATTCATTTTCTTATTCCATAAAGTACAATAGCATTCATTTAAAAAGTATAGACTTAAAGCAATAATGCTGATCAAATATAATATATTGCATTAGAAATAAATTCCATACTAAAATAGGGACTTTTACTACAGAATCACATTTTTAACTTTTTTTTTTTAAATAAATTACTGAAACTTTTGCACTATGAAAGCTCTCAGGAAAAATTAATGGTTTTGTTTTGCAAATTAATTTAGATATTAAAAAATTATATTTTCAACCAAGATCTCAGTTACTCAGATTAAATATTAACCAAAAGCTGTCTTCTGCTTAAATAGAATTTAGCCTTTGAAGTGTTTTTATTAATCTCTTCTGATGTAGGTGCTTGAAATTCTATGAAAGTGCTCCTGCTACCAGTTCTGTGCATCACTTACTGTAATTTATTTTCAGAACATAATTCTATTTATAAATGAAAATCCTATTAAAAGAAGACAAGAAAAATTAGTCCTAGACTTTGCATTGGTAGAGTAGAAACAAAATGAGCGGCCTAACCTGAAGTGACATTTACAAATTACCTGTTAATTTAAACTGGGTTGAAGGATGACAGAGTTTAGTCAGACTGACAGGAAGTACCGAAGGAATGACAGTTGGGCCTGTAGTGGCCATACAGCTCCCACAGCAAACACGTTCCTCTGTTTTCTCAGGGAAGAAGCCTCCCTTGTAGTAAATAATGTATTTGTAAAAATATTTACTTCATGGTAGCCTAGTGAGTGAACATCTTATGGAGCTGAAAACCCCTCTCTTTTTATTCTTATTTTTAGTAGGGATAAGAGCTGCTTTAAGACGGCCACTCGCCTTTAGTCACATGGTTGATTCATCACCACCCCCTAAAGCTAAACCACATGATTTTCTAAATGAAAATGAGACAAGAAGTGACAAGGCTTGTATCCTTTAGTTGCTTCAGGATAACATTTATGCCCTGAGACCACTTCCTTTGTTCACTAGACATTCTTTGAATGGACACAACTGCGTATCAAGGCTATGCAGTGCCAAATATTTACAAAGATAACAATAGTTGCACTCACTCCACTTATAAATAGTACTGAGAATACTCAAAATCAAGTGCTAAGAGTTTCAATATTTATTCACATTTGAAAGTCAAAATGTTGTTTGAAGGAAGATGCTCTGGTGTCTTACTCTTCAACATGAAACACTTTCCAAGTGTCCAGAATTTTATAAAATATTTTAATAAAATCTTTAAGCTTTCAAGGGAATATTTAGAAGTCTTAAATCTAACTATAATTATTTAAGAATCTGTCCCTTTAATGACTATCAGGAAAGGAGCATAACAGAGCTATTGTAGCTCGTTTCTGCGAGAGAGCACCACATATATGCAAAGAGAAAAGCAGACTATAGTTAGATAACTAAGCCCACATACAAGATGTTCTTGTGCATACTCAATAAAGAGTGGTTTAATATTCTTAAACAGTAAACTGTATTTTATATACATATAGAAATTACTGAACATAAATGTGTGGCGTTATATCATGATTTAGGGATCTCACAAACCATACACATATTTCATTCACCAGGCACCCATTGACCTGGCAGCCGTGACCTCCCCACTCAAGTCTGATCCACATTGCCATACACAGTCCAGAGGTCACTCTGTAACAAAGGAAGTTGTATGCATTATGCACACTCTGTTTCTTGAATAAATCGTCTCTTGCTCTTGGGGTAGATAACCTGAGCTGATACAGTGCAGCTGGGTATAACTATAAAGGTACCTATCAATTCTCAAAAACTACTCTGCCCCCATGTACATCAGCATACTTATAGATACAAAACAAATGGTACTTGGATATCAAATTTATGTTCCTAAACAAAGGCATGAATTCCCATGATCTATTTCAACAAAATTCACAAGTCCCTTGTTTTAATACCATTTCTAGAAACCTTGCTCTCAAAATTGTTTTTCAAAACATTAAAAGATCAACCAGAGCCAAGTTTATGACACCAAACAAAGTTAGGTGGTGTGGAAGACTTGTCAGTACCATCATTTTGCAATAGACTTTTTAAATGTAATTCATTTCTAATTTTTAATCTTAGCACAGGACAACTTATTTTTTCTTTTTTTTTTTTTTTTTAATAATGACTTGACACTGATGTAATTTTACACCTACTGTACAAAAGATTTTCCTTATTTAATAGAAGAGTATAAATTCTGGAAGCAGAGAAAGATCTTATTATTATGGAAGAATAGTAAAATAAGATCTACAGTACCATTATTTTTGAAATTAGACGTTGTACCTTAGTCAAAAGATCCAAATATAGACCACATTCTGGTCTGTAGTATGTCATTGATGAAAAATGGTCCTCAAGTTCTACTTAAAGAATTCAGGAGGACACAATTAATATTTTGATTTCTCTCAGGAAAAAAGAAACTACTGCAACAGATAAAAGTTTTGAACCTCTAATGGCAGTAGGAGACCCATATACTTTTGGGGAGATTGTCTTCAATTTTTCAATCTAGGATTGGAGATAGAACTGATATACAACATTTTATTAATTCTTTCCCATAGATCTTTGGCCAGAAAACCACATACACTTCTTTGGCCAATCACAGTTACTCCTCCAGGCTTGTTAAGTGTTTCTGTACTGTAAGACTGATATCCTTGCCCTCATATAGTATATCAAGGGCATATGATAATGATAACGATCAATGTTATTTTAACACTGCACAAAGGCCAGAAAGTCAAGGCCATTTCTTCATTAGAAAAGAGGACTATTGATTATTAACTAGAGACTGGCTAGAAATGAAGAAATTAATAGGTAGATTACCCATCTACCAATTACCTGCAAAGTCCTAGTAAGGTATTTGGGATGCAAATTAATTACACACAGTACTTCTGGTGGTAGAGGTGGACTTGTGCATCATTCAGTGCCATTACTTCAATTGGATGCATTACAGTAAAGGGAATTCTGGACTATAGTTGCAGTAAATGAAATGAAAGAGGTTACTTGTTAGTTTAGTAATGTCATGTCTACACATTCAAACCATCACACGAAAAGTTTTGTAGTTTCTCAGAGCTATCCTTCAGCAGACAGAGCTAATATAGTTGTGCCTTAAGAGTCATTACGTGTTAGACAGTGACTGAATAGTATAAAATTCTCTACTAGAAGCGTTTGTCTTCTGAGTAACCTGAGTAACTCTTAACCACAGAATTCACAGTATATGTATTTACCCAGAGAATCCCCTATATGGTTCTATAATCAAAAGAGCTAATCATCTGCTACATCTGCTATCAGAAAATATAAAATTCACTGCTGTCTGTCGCGTTTTTTTTTTCTTTCAACTACAGAAATTCATACCTTTCATTTTTATTTGTTTGTTTTTAATTGTCTTCTTTTTACTGAATTTTAGAAGTTAACTCTGATGCCTCAGCAGAAAAAAATAAAGAGTTATAAGACTTTGCAGCTGAGACTGCTGCTTCAGGAGGTCATGTCACTAAATATGAAGTAATTCTTGTAGGACTCTAACCATCATCCTGAATTCCCTGATTTCTATTACCCGAGGGAAAATGCCAGCAAAAGAGCCATGTGCCTGAATGATGTCAGGAGACTGTCTTTTTCTAACTTTATTTGCTAAACAGTCAACCAACTTTGGAAAAAACTCCCAAAAGTTTTTGAATTTTATTCAACATCCTAAAAATATTACTGTAAAGTTTATGTAGACAGCTAACTGTATTTTCTTCACAGACCTTTATTTTAAGATAGAATTTAAATTCTCAGAATCCTTTGCTATACTTCCTTCTCTCCCTCTGAGCATCACAGACAAAGAAAGACATTGTTTAGGTTGTCCCCCTAAAATATTTTTTCTAGCTTTACCACAGTTACAGGACTTTAAGGAGGAATTAATTAAGAACAATCCTTTGGCCTATGTTTCAAATCCAGTCCTGGAACTTATGAAAATGGGTAGAAGCATGAAAATTTCATTCCTTATAA